TTGTGCGGAAGAGTACATCGGAATATGCGTCCCCGATAGTACTAACGACCAAAAAGAATGGATCAAAGAGATTGTGCGTAGACTATAGGAAAATAAATGAGAAAATAATAAGAGATAATTTTCCGATGACAGTAATTGATGAAGTACTGGATGGACTATACGGTGCTTATGTGTTCACGACTTTAGACTTAAAAGACGGATTTTTTCACGTTCCTATAGAACCAGGTTCTAGGAAGTATACCTCATTTGTCACGCAAGCGGGACAATATGAATTTTGTTTCGTTCCGTTTGGCATTTCGAACTCGCCTGCGGTGTTTTGCAGGTATATTCAAGCGATTTTCCACGATTTGTTGAGAGACGGTACGGTGATTATCTACATGGACGATATTGTTATCCCGGCTAAAGATGAAGCCGAGGGTATACAAAATCTTAAGGTGGTTCTGAGACGTGCAAGTGAAAGTGGGTTGAACATACGATGGTCAAAATGCCAATTTTTGAAAAGGCAAATACATTTCTTAGGGTATATCATAGAAAATGGAAGAATATTACCGTCAAGCGAGAAAACGAGGGCTGTTGAAAAGTTTCCAATACCGTCAAGTAAGAAAGAAATTCAACGGTTCTTAGGGCTTACTTCATTTTTTAGACGCTTTATACGAAATTATGCGGTGGTAGCCAAACCACTTACAGATTTACTGAAGAAAGACGACGAACATTTGATTGCTATTCAAGAGTTGAAAAACGCGTTGGTGAACGCACCAGCTTTGAAATTATACAATCCGACGGCATACACGGAAGTTCATGCAGACGCATCGAAATATGGCTATGGTGCCGTATTACTACAGAAAGACGGAGAAGATCAACAGTTGCATCCAATAGAGTACATATGCCGGAAAACAACATTGACGGAAGAAAAGTACAGTTCATACGAACTCGAAGTCTTGGCAGTAAAGAAGTGGCGAATTTACCTTAGGGACTTGAAATTTAAAATTGTGACGTTGTGCGTTTTATTTGAACGCGAAAGACGACGACTTAGCCGGAGTATCGGCATAAATCCTACATATATATGTAGATACAGTCAGTCAATAAAGTTTAGGTGCAGCGAATTTTTTACAATACGGGCAACTATAATTTAAATATTTTATTTTTCGCTAATTTTTTATAAAAATATGGTTAATTCTACAACAAAAACCCCAAAAATCAGAGTTCCAAACCTTGTGCAAAATTAAAGAAAATTCCGCAAAATTTCATTCAAGTATAGCACTTTTTATTAACGCTCTCCTGAAAAAAGTTGATTATGCAGTTTTTTAGCCCATTCAATTTTGGTATAAGAATGTGCAAGTATGAGGAAGCTAGGACTTACCATTGAGTTTTGGGAAATTTTAAGGAAAAAATGAGCGAAAAATAAAATATTTAAAAAATATTTGCCGGTATTGTAAAAAATTCGCTGTACCTAAACTTTATTGACTGACTGTATGTACATGTAGAAAAAATGTTCAGATAGTTGGAACGAAAGTAAGAATATGTACAAATATTTATGTATAACTATTATGGTGGTAATGTTTTTATTGTATACAAATTACATATATATTTATGTATATACATAGAAATGTACATACATGTAGTTAAAATATATTCCAGGCACACACTTTTCAGTATAATGGAATATCAGCATGTTATTTTATTCCTTAATAATTGCATTTTTTATTATAATGAGGATAATAAAAGAAACATATTTACTTAACATTGAATAAGTAAAGTGGAGGTCTGGTGAAGAGTCGGAAAATGTAGGGACCGAAAATAAGTTAATTTTTTAACAGTCAAGCTTGTTCCTGATAATATAAAAACCGCTTATCCAAATTAGGTATAAAATGAAAGAGGACAGAAATAGCTTTTGAATAGAAATAACGAACGAAGGTTACCACCTCTATTTGTATTTGTTTATAATATAGGGCGTGTGTGAATCGGTAACAAAGTTCTATGGGGAAAGCTGTTGAATAATATTGTTACTATGGTGAGACAGTTTTGCCAATCTGCTGTGTGAAATGAAATATATTTTGACAGCAGTAAATTTTTGATAACCGCAGATTTATTTGGAATAAAATATTACAAATTGAAGTGAAATTAATATTTTAAGAAAACATCTACCATCGTTGATTGCAATTCATCAATTTAAGCTTTTATTTAACGAAAAATCACACACATCAACAATCTTTGCGATTGTCAAAATTTTCTATGCATTTGTCAAAAATTTCACTAGCCTCATGAGCTACTGAAATTTTATTCACCTCATAGTTGTCAAAAATTTGCTCGACGCGAACTTTGTTACCGATTCACACACGCTCTTAATACAAAATAAATGCATATACCTGCTCTTGTGTTAAAGCCTGTTCCTTTAGAAGAAGAAAATCGATGGATAAATAAGAAAGTAATGATTGGATAAATGAAATTGCGCAAGGATTTTTTGCAGAAAAGTGTTACTAGTACGCCATGTACACCTGAGTAGGTAGAGTGATGGAAGCACGTCCAGGATTTACAACTCTTTGAAGTTTGCTCTGCATTTCTTCTTTTTTTCTATTGCAGTCCGAGTTATATTCCGGGAGATTGTTGTTGGACGAGGAATCAAATCATTAACATCTAAGTGCTCTACAAACTTGTGCCCGATTTTAATAAGATTAAGGCCATTCTTTAACCATTTAAAGTTGCAAAAGATCTGCAGTCTGCTATCGTCCAATTTACACACGTTTGCAAGAAATCTATGCAAAAAAAAAGTTATGTACAAAAAACTTACATAGCACTTTTTATTGTGTTTACCCTTTTTTGTTCTTGTCGTACTTGTACGAGGGGAATGGCTTTAGTTATGAAGCATTTGTGACGGCGTCAGTTAGAAGTTAGTGTTCCGCTATGCCGCACAATAGCGTCGCATTCACGGCAGCATACAAATTCATTATTAACGAATCTAATATCATCTTCTATTTCACAAAAAACAGACCACACTTCACTACGACCTTTTCTTTTATTCGATTTTCTTAAAACACCGCTTTTGAGTTTTTAAGAAATATTTTCAATAGTATTCGATAGAGCTGTCAAACTATCGATAGTCAAGTCCATCGATGTTTTACGATAGTCTTAAGGGTGACTATCGATACTATCGATAGTATCGACCCATTTCATATGTTTTTCTAAATCCATTTATTTTTCGTTATCTTGCTTTTATATATATTTTTTTTATTTTAGCGGCTCACGGTTGCATTTTAGTATCGAGAAATATTGCTAGAAATTCATTCGCCATGTAAACAGTCAAAAAGCGATTTCAGAAATTTTCCCTGCAATTCGCCTTTCGGAAATAAAAAAATTTCTTGCGAAAGACACTTTACATGCAAGGTGCCACTGCTCATGCAACTGCTTTCTGCAATTTCTCAATTTGACAGTCTGGGTGCGTTCAGAAATGCATCAAGCTAAAGAATCAGTATCTTTTATTTCTAAACTATAATTGATGGAAATGTCTTATTTACGCAACTAAGTTCCAATTCGGCTAATAACCGTGGTTGCGCATATTGGACATTTCTATCAATTATAATGGATTGGCGTTTACACATATGTTAGTGTTTGGCCGAGCTCTCCTCCGACTTGTGGCGTGCGCCTTGATGATGTCACCTGCAGTTTTACGCCGACTCCGAACCACGATTGTATTTTTATGAGAAGCTGTTTTTCACGGCAGAAATACACTTGGAGGTTTGCCATTGCCTGCCGAGGGACGGCCGCTGTTAAGAAAAAACCTTTTTTTAAATTTTTTTTTGCGATGTTGCTTTGGCCAGGGCTTGAACCCAGGTGCTGATGAGTGAAAGCGCGCACTGCTTACCACTACACCTCAGTGGCCGCTGTCAATTATAGTTTAGAAATAAAAGAGACTGATACTTTGGCTTGATGCATTTCTGAACGCACCGTCTTTTGAAATATACTGCATTGCCCGGTCTGACACGCTCTTAAGACGGCAATATATCCTCGGCTATTTCCACGCTTAAAATAAAAATGGCGCAACCGCGTATTTGTAATTGTATTTGAGAAAAAAATAAAAAAAACGTCATTTCTTAATCGGTAGTTTCATTCACACACATGGTTTCATTCCGTTTCATTCACATGGCGGCGAAAAAAGGACGTCACTGCAAAAAAAAATCTTTTCTCGCACACCGTCCTCTCTCTTTTTGAACCAATACGTGCAAATATCAAAAGCGGTAGGAAAGAGAATAAGCTATCAATGAAACGATAGTGGCGATAGTACTAAAACTATCGATAGTTATTTCAAGTGACCAGACTATCGATACTATCGATAGTATCGTCGATAATTTGACAGCTCTGGTATTCCATGGTGTAATGAACTGAAGGTGGCGCATTCCCGAAACCGCTACTTTGGTTTTGCCGACTTTGACGTTTATGGCAATACGTAAACAAACTTTTTGTTTATAAATAAGTGCAAACGTATTGTGTATTTTCAAGTGAAAAATCGAAGTAATTCGTGCGTTCTGAAGTAAAAAACATTTTATTTGTAATAAAAACTTTATAAAAATGTCGTGTCGTGTGTTGAATTGCAGCAGCCGTAGGGGTAAAGGCCCTAAATGCAGTTTTTTTTTGTTTCACCGCGACGACGCCTTGGCCAGAAAGTGGGTAGAGTTCTACCGGCAGGAGAAGCCATACAATTTAGACACCAGCGTAATATGCATGAAGTACTTTACGGATAAGGATTACATGAGTAACTATCATTTATTTTCATTACTTATAACTATATGTCGATATCTAATAAAAGTCTAGGAACTGCTAGTCGACCATCGCTTCGCCGCGACGCCATGCCAACCATTTTTGAGTGGGAAATAGATCCTGCTCCGGTGTGTGAGTCACAAAATGACAGCGTTGAGGAGATCATTGAGCTACAAAATTGCGAAGGTAGCAAATATTATACTATAAATATTATATTATTAATGTCAGTGGTTTATTAGTTGGTTTAAATGAAGGCGATAAAGTATATCGGCCCAGGGACGGTACTGTTGATGCTTCGACGTCACCATATCCGTAACTGTGTTTACTATGATAGTGATCTTCAGGAAGTGGAAGTGTTGAAAGTGGAAGTGTACGTTAATAAGTAACAGATCTTTATGTGTAAATGTAATAATATCTTATATTTCTCTTATTTGAAGTGAGACATTCAAGCGCGTAAATGCACACCTCAAAAAGGAAACCGAAAAGCAGTGCACCGAGCTCGCTACATTGAAGCGGGAGTCCGACCTGCAATTGAGGAGACACGCATGGAAAATGGAGTCACTGCAAAAACGTTTGGATGAAATGGCTGCCCAAATGAAAAATGTGGAAGATGCACTAGCTTCCATCTTCACCAAAGGGCAGATAGCGAAGCTGAAGTCTGGGTCGAAGGCGACGAAAATGGGCAGAAGAGGATATTGCGAAGTCAATATCGTTGTATGCTGCCAGTCCTAAAGCATACAGGTTGCTATATAAGCAATGCCTTCCACTCCCATCGGTCCGCACACTTCAAAGTTGGGCACAAAAACTGGACATTTCGCGCGGACTTATAACCCCAGTCTTCGGGTTATTGGCCGCCGCTACCCACATGAACGAGGCACAGAAGCTATGCGTGTTGAGTTTCGACGAAATGAAAGTAAGACAATCTTACTGTTACGATGTTTCGTCGGACTCAACATTAGCCCCCGTCAACTACGTACAGGTAGCGATGTTAAGAGGTAAACATTACAATCAAGATTTTATAGAATATCAAACCTTTATTAAGGCCTTTTATATTTCAGGTCTCATGGCAAAGTGGAAACAGCCAATCCTTTATGACTTCGACTGCAAAATGACTTCCGTTTTGCTTCGAAGCATGTTGCAGAAGTCAAAAGATTGCGGCTATAACGCAGTGGCTGTCGTATGCGATCTTGGAGGTACCAATAGGGCCCTATTTAATGATCTAGGCGTAACTGAAGACCAGCCGTGGTAAATAATCACAATTAAACTTATTGATTTCAGTTCTTATAATACTTCTCATTTCCATAGGTTTATTTTCAATGACCAAAGGATTTACGTTTTCGCTGACGTGCCACACTTGCTAAAACTTTTGCGAAATCATTTCCTTGATCAAGGTTTCCTAATTAATGGGAAACCTGTGAAAAAGGAAATAATTTTGGAGTTATTGTCAATTACAAGCACGGACTTGACAATAACTCACAAGATTTCTGCAAGTAACTTGACCGTGGCTGGAGCTCACCGCCAAAAGGTCAAGACGGCAGCGAAACTATTTTCGCATACTGTGGCGCAGGCCATAATAAGGGCAGCAAGTCTGGGTCATTTGCAGAACCAAAACTGGACCGAATGCTTCCAGTTATTCAAAACAGTATGTGTTATTATATTATATTATGAAATTGATATATTATATATTTTACTATATTACATATCGTTATCTTAATTCACAAAGGCTCTAACCAACAGTTTTTCGTACTAAAATATAGCTTAAATAAAAATTTCAAAGTGTTAGTACCAAAAGCAACGGAGTTACATGCCCCTTTTTCAAAAGCTCTACCTATTTTCGATACTATTTTTATAACGTTTATTGCTTCTGCTATAAAATATAATTATTTTTTTGTTTAGGGCCTTTGTGAATTAAGGTTACGATATATTTAAACCGCAATATTAAAACTCATGTTCAAATTATACACCTTAGACAAATGACTGGTTTGACGTTCTAAACGTCAGGGTGCCTCACGCCGACTCCAGGAAGCGGTGTCTTGCTTACGGTTTAGCGATCGAGGAGCAAAACAAGATCCTAGACGAGATGACCGACCTAGTCAAAAATATGAGGGTGCTTGGCAAATTTAGTCTGCTGCCATTCCAAAAAGGTAAACTAATACATATGGTTATCTCAAGAATAACATTAAATGTTTGTTATTTTTTCTTACTATATCCCTAGGAATCTTTCAAAGTAATACGGCGTTGAAGTTGTTATTCGAGGACATTAAAGCTCGCTTTAATGTCAAGTATGTCTTGACGTATCGGCTAAACCAAGACGTACTCGAAAATTTCTTCGGCATTATTCGGTCAAAAGGCGGGTTACATGATCACCCTGACCATCAGGAATTCAAGTACCGTCTGCGACTATACCTGCTAGGACACAACAAGGGCGTATTATCCGATTCTGCTAATGTAGAAGAGGATGATACGCCTGACATAGAAATCACGCAGCCTCCGCTTACAAGTAATTCAAAATAATTTTTTATCTATTTCATTCGGCTTAAATATAAAAATATATTTTATTAATAATCGCACATATATATTTCACCATATTTACAGGTATTTTGCTGAAAAACTTAAGCTCTAATGCAGAACTGTGGCCGGTTGAAGAAGCGGAATTCGAGGATTTGGAGCTAGACGGACTCGAGCATTTAGCGGGATATATTTGCCACAAGCTGCAGGATGACATTCCCAGCACGTCGTTCAGGAGCAATGACGACCATTCATTCTCCTGGGCGGATCACCTTAATGAGGGTGGGTTATCCCTACCAAGCTCCTCTATGATGGTCCATATGCGAAGTCTTGAGTCAGTCTTTAAGGCATTGAACGAAGATGGCTTGCTCATTACAAATGATTTTGTAAAAACTCACATTGAGCATGCTGCAACAATTCAATGCGACATTAAAGTAAAAAAATTATTTTTCAGGGCAAGAATGTTCTTCAAAATACGAAAATTAAATAAAGAACTCGTTGAAAATGCCCACAAAAGAAAAAGAAAAGCCAAAAAAACTCTGACCTAGATCGATCCATATGGTACCATTATAGAACCGTAAGTATTGCATAAAATACCAAACATGTGGTAAGTTTTGAACTAAAGCGTTTTTAAATTTGTAGAAATTAACCGTTCTTTACTTGCAGCATGAATCAATGTCCGCATTTCACACGCACTGATCTCAGTATTTCAGACTCCTAAAATTAAAATACTTGCATGCTACGTAAGTCCCTAGTTTTAAAAAATCATCAAGCGTCTTTTATACAAATATAAACTTATTTATTTGCAGGCAAGTAATATGATTTATCCAAAGGCCCTTTTCAGGGCCGCCAATTAATTAACAAAGAGATTAAAATTTTATGCTTAGATAAATACATATATACCAATCAACAAGAGGCCCTTTTCAGGGCCGCAATTAAGTTGACAAAGAGCTTAAAATTTTATATCCTATATATATTTATGTTCTTAACGTATATATGCATGCATGTATCTTTTTAATAATTATCATTTAAATTGTATATTTTTTTACTTAGATTTAAAAGCAATTACTTGGTTTTACACATCATTTTGTTTCGTTATAGTTAAACTTAACTAAGTGGATCAATGAAAATATAATATACTGCAAATATATGTATATAATATACTGCAAAATAAAGACTATAGTAGTAAAAATTTCAAATCGAATAAATGTTTATTAAAACTATACCTCATTGCACTACTTTCCAAAAACAGAGAAGAAAAATAACTATGACGTACTGAGCTCTGGTTGTTCATGCAAGACTATTTTGCTGAGACTGACGCGACACACACCAATACACCAGGTTGGTTTGCACTAGTTGGTGTCGGCTGGTTTACATCGGCTGCGCCGATGAAGCAACTGAGCCGAAGATATCATCAAGGTTGGCATTTGAAGTTGGTTGTACATTAATTTCTAAAATAGAAATGTAGGTCTCAATTCAGAACTTAGCAAATATTAATTTGGATGGCCGCCTAAAAGTCTAAGACTTTTTTGAATCTACCGAATCCTTACCTAAAATATCAGGTATTGGAGCCGAGCCAATGCCAGATGAATTATCATCCCCGAATGCTCCAAGCAAATCGAAACTAGCGTCACTCGTTGTGGCTTGTGGATCTTGCACCGGCAGCTGGGGTTGGGGCTGGTTTAAATTGAGCATGTCTATTGGTGGTGATGGTTGAGGTTGGATTCGAGGTACATCCTCTTGCTTTATTTCGGTAGCATCTGGTAAAATAGGCGTTATCTACGGAAGCAGCTGACCTAACAGGCGTAGGTTTGTTGATGGAACTAGGTTTTGTCACTGTTGTAAGGAAAATAAATAAATAATTGAAATGGGCGGAAATACTATAGGGACTTGCCGAACTTATCCACCATTTCCTCGAATTCTAATTGCGAACTTAATATATGTTGTGCGTTTCTTATGGGCTTTGCTGGTAACCAAGGAGGATTCCTACTCGGCGGAAATTCGTTATCCGTGAAACTCAACGACAGCGAAACCTAAAAGTCATGAGGAACCTGATCGGCATCCGGTAAATCATCGAGATCATTCGAGGAAAATGTTATCAATGTTTCTTGTTCCGGTATGAAGCCCGTGTTGATTTGGAATTGACAAATCTTTAAACTCTGAGGACGTACCATGCCTTTAAGTGCATTTCGCGCATGTTAAAGCACCACTTCATTTATGGAAAATATATAAAATTAAGCTGCATCACCACCTGCATGCTTGCCGCGACTTATTTTTTCCAAACCCTGTAAACAAAGTTTATATTAATACGACACAAATTTGTTATTACTGCCACGCGCTCACCAAATTAAATGATTCCACAAGCACAGTGCATGATTTAAAAGGCGGCAACTTAGTTGATTTTTCCTTTTGGTCCTTTGGAGATTTGTCAAAAGCTTCCACAGCTTCACAGTTCTCAAACAGCAACACCAGCCCACATACAATTGAAAGCACCACTTTTAAACACGACATGTTAAGTTGAAAACGTTGAAATACCACAATTTACAAATTAAAATCGGAGGTAAGCAAGCATCGACCACTTTCTGCAGGAAAACATGCGCTGCGACAAGATATTATCACTTTTCCGGCACCTGCAATACAAACACAAAATTCTTTCTATTCTTTTGAACACATTTCAAGAGTGGTTGTATAATTTTTGTTAACGTTGTGCTTAATTTGCTATAAGATGGCTTGAAAAATTGGTGAATTGTGAAGAAAACACGTTTTCTCATTGCAAATTCACAACTGTCAACTCATTGTTCTTCGCCAAATTCTTTGTTTACCCGTTGCCGCAAATGTCATTCTGCGGGAATGCGCAATCTTGTATTCTATCGTTCTTGCTGGTATTCGACATAATTTGCGCACGTCAGAATCTTACAATAAAAACGGAAGAACATATAACTCTCGAATGAATCCAACAAGCCGTTTATACAGAACGAGTGTCTCAATTTACATGCAACGATTCGGTTCGTTTGAAATTGTACAAGTGTATGATTCAAACAAGCAAAACTGTTTACTGCGTTGACTCGGTATAAAATTTATCAAGCAAGTTGCGGCTCGTACGCTTTACGTTGTTTATGTATCAAATCATACGTACATTAGTTCAGTATAAACGAACTCCAAATTCAAGTAGCTCCTTGCTTTTCTCTGCTACCGAATAGAATTAAATGAAGAAGACGATGCCG